ACAGTGTTGCTAATATTTTTTTCCTGAAAAATTATTTTTTTTAAAATTAATTTTGAAAATTTGGGAACCTACTTTAAATGGCTTTTAAATTCCAACTGAGAAAAGGTACTTTGTTTTTATTGGAGACACTTTAGCCTTAGACATAACAAAAAAAAATTTTAACCCACTTTTAAACATTGAAGATAACCAACTGCCCCCATATGTCTTTTTTGAAGCATCACAAAAAATTTTTGGGGGTACTTTTTCCCATTTTGGTTTGGCCACCTGGCGGGGGGGAACTCCAACTTTGGAATTTTCTTTAATCCCCAATTATTTCATCCCCCCTGTTATAAATTTCCTCGGTTTAAAAATTTCATCCAAGCACATTTAATTTCCCCATGTTCCTGAATTAAAAAATTTCCCTCTTAAAATTTGGGTGACACAAAAACCCTGGGGGATCAAAACTTTTGGGGAAACTTCGCAAGCAAGACTTTTTAGTTAATTTTTTGGGGTTACTTTTAATTATTGGGTTTTTAAACTTTAAAAAAATTTTCTTCAGTACCCCAATTTTAACCCCAATCATTATTTCTTTTTGGAAATTTTCTTTCCAGGGTAATCTTTATTTTATTATGTCCTTTATTTGGACGAATTGCTTTTTCCATTCCCCAGAGGCATATTTGCCTTTGCATTATTTTTTTAAACCCCTCTCCAAAATTTTATTAACATTCCTTTTCAGTTGAGTCTAACCCGGGGAAATTGTCCCACATAAAAATTTTTTTGTCTTTTCCTTTTTTAAAGGGACTTTCCTTTACTTTTAAAGGTGGGGCATTTATCGTCGTTTTGAAGTGGGAACGGACTGGTGTAGCACCAAAAAATACGCTCCTAAAGCAAAAGGTTTTCAGAGTGCTAAGTGGGGTCACTAGGATTCTCGGGCCCATAAAAAGGGGGGGGAACAATCTCGGTCAGCCTCTTGAAAAACCCCTTTTTGGAAAAGTTTTACTTATGTCAGCCGTAAAGGCATAATGCTTCACTCTAAAATTTTTAAATAATTTATCTCCAAATTTTTTTCCGTCAACGACGGCCCCTGTAATCAAACTTTTCATTAAACTAGGTAAAATTTTTTTTTACTCTGGCACTAAAAATTAAACGGGGGATCCCAAAAATTGGTCTTAGGGTTCCCTTCTTCATTTCCGGGATGGGGGAAATAGGGACCTTTTAAATTTTTTGGCTTGCTCAGGGGTTACCCTTTATAAATTTATTAAAAATTGTTCAGCTTTTATATCATTATAGGCATTAAAACAATTTGGTGTTTTACTCGTTTTGGGACGACCCTTTTAATTGTCCATATCCCTTTCTTTTAATTTTGTGGGCAATTCTGGAGGGTTCAGTCTCCACGGAAGTGTACCCAGTTTTGTCCGGAATTAAAAAATTTTTCATCTCTCAGTATTGCCCCGGGTTTTAAAGATTCACCCTGGACTTTTTTCATTTACTTTATATTCCAAGGCTGTCTTTTCCCACTTTTTATGAAACGGGCTCAACCCATCCTTAGGGGAAGGCTTTATACTGGGGTACGTTTTTCATAAATAAAAAAACACACAGTTATGGTATTTGTATTTTTCCCTTTTAGTCATAAAATATTATTAGAGGAATCCTCCCATCCATTCCCATGCCCTCCTGCAGTTCAAAAGGGTGACACCACATTTCTTTCCATACCCTTTACAAAAGGGGGGCATTAAAAAGTCACTACCTAAACAAAATATTTATTGGGGAAAATACAGAATCATCACTTACAAACCCGAAGGTGCTAAATTTTTCCCTTTTGTGAAAGTTTTTCTGTAGCTTTTTTCTTAAAACCCCAATGTAGATATTTTCCTGGTTGTCTTTCTTCAAATTTCTGCATTAACACGTTTTTTCTCATTGCCCAACATGAAGTTTCATAAACCCGTATCATTTCATTTTAGCCCTTTTTTTCCGAGGAAAACCAGATAATTTTAAAATTTTGGGGGTCTCCCATCGGGACTTTTTTTCCCCTCAAGTCATTTACGTTTTATGAAAAAAAAGTGGGGTCCTGGTCGAATAAAGCAGTTACATTTTTTTATTTTTGCCTTTATCATCAATTTTTACCTGTAACACCCCCCCCCCCCCCCCCCCCCCCCCCCCCCCCCCCCCCCAACCCCCCCCGGGTGGGATTGAAAAAAACTTTTTTAAAAAAAATTTTTCCCCCAAAAACCCAAAAATCCAAAATTGCCTTACACATGACTATATGGGGTCTTCCTTTGTTTACATTGATAAAAAAGAAGTTTAATTTGGCCCTAACAATCCTTTTTCATTTGTGTTTTCCAAAAACCTGATTTTTCATTGTCAAGTTCCCCCAATTTTTTTCACTTTATCATTAAAGGAAAAATTTTTGCATTGCAATTTTAGAAAAAAAAGTTCCCTTTAGAAGAGAAAAATCTCTCTTTTTTTTTGACTGGGGTTTTTTTTAAAAAAGGGGTACCCTTTGGGGGGGTACTTATTCTTTTACCTTTTGGAGAATTTATTATTTCTGATTCCTGCTACTTGATTTGGACCCCATGCAACTTTTTTTGAAAAAAAAATTTGATTATTACCCCTTGGGATAATTTTTTTTCCCTTTTTGAAACTTGACCGATTTCCCCAGGTTATTATGTGTTGCATTTTTAAAATGAGTTAGTTGGCTGGTCGCAACTGAACAATTTTAAATTTTTGTAGACCTATTTAAATTTCCCCCAGACCAAAATAACTCTTGTTTATACTTGTTGAGAGTCTTCAAATGTTTTTTTCGCTTAATTTTTTTTGTACAATGGAAACAATAAAACCGTTTTGTTTCCCTTTTGATTATATTTATTACTTTTAAAAATTTTTAGAGTGTTTTCCCGTTTAACTCTAAAAAGCTGTAAACCTTTGGGAAAGGGGGGGTGATCGGGGGATTTTAAATTAACAATTTATATTCAATAGATCCAACCTACTTTTTTTATAATTTTCCATTTAAAGGGCCCCCCAAAAAAGTCAAAATTTTCCTTTTTAAAAAGTCATCTACTTGGGAAAAAGGGTTGTATGGTATGTGGCATCCCTCTTACCTGTCCTTTTAGGTAAAAAATTTAGATTACACAGGTAGGTCCTCCTGTCATGCCCCAGGGCTTTAAAAATTGACCAAAATTTCCTTTCCCCGTTTTCTCCGGATTAAAAAACAGGTAAACATAATTCGGGGAGTTTTGGCAAAACATTATTGTTGGGAGTAGATTTAACTCCCGGTTTTTACACTTTTAATTTTTAAAACCCCTGACTTTTAAAAAATTTTTCCCCTCAAATTCATAAAAACGTTAAATCATAAGATCTCCCTTTCTCTATCACACAGTTTAAAAACAAATCCCCTTTCAATATTGTTGAAATAAAATTTTTATAATCTATCTATTACCAAAAGCTCTAAATGAAAATTTTAAATCATTAGTATTCACAGTTTCTTGATTCAAATTTCAAACATTATAGCCTTTGTACATGCCCTTTCTAGCTTGCAATTTTGCTTTTTTTGCTTATTTTCCTTTTGTTTGTTTTCAAAATTTTAATTTCCTCTTTTTCACCTGTGCAATGTATTTAAATTCAACTTAAAAACCCTGTTAGTCTAAATTATGCACTTTATAAAGGTAAATAGTACAATTACCTTTAAATAAATTCTGCTATTTGGCTTAGCAATTACTTGAAAAAAAAAATTATTAAATTTTTTTAATGCTTAATACAAATCTTTAGCCAGCCCTTGGCTTATAAAAATTAATATTATACAATTAATAAATCCTTCCCCAGAATTTGGCATAGCAAAATTAATATTATACACATTAATATTAGTTACATTGGCTTTCAATTACCAAACGATAAAAAACTTGGCCAGAAATCTTATCAAATTAAATTTTTTCAAATACAAAAAATTTAAAAAGCCACTTTGGCTTTGCAAAATTAAATACACAAAATAAAATTAGCTACATTTGGGGTTATCAATTAACATACACTTTTACCATTAATTATTTTTTGCCACCCTGAGCTTAGCTTATCAAAATTAATTTTGTAAAAATTAAACCCACTACCATTAGAAAATTTTGTGAACTTAACATCCACCTCCTTTCTGTTATTTCACATATAATTATTTAAGTAATTAACTAATTAAATGCCCATAATTACCTCCGGTTCGAGGGACCAAGGGGGAAATAAATGTGGAAAATTTCATTTTTCTTGATGTACAGTATATGCATAACGTAAATGAAATAGATAATTATTATTTATCAGTTTTAACGGGGGGAAAATTTGGGACACCCAGGGACAAAAAATGTCCCCCTTTTACCTCCACTGTCATAACCACAAGTTGCTCTGGACCCATTTAATTACAATGAACTGTATCACCAGGAATGCTGGTAAATATATAAATTTGTGGACTGTATATTAAAATTTAAAAAGGATTATATATACACACATTTACATAACAGAAGGAATATCTTTATATCACTCACCAATTTGACTGGAGATTAATGTGTATCATACTCAGAAAACCTCTGTCTATACATGAAAATAACAACTGGCCAGAGTTATAACATAACAGACTTATCTGAGGTTCCTGGAGTTGTCTTGTCCAGTCGCTTGATATCTCAAGTTATGCAGGACTGCACATCCAACAATTTCGCCTCCTATTTGAGAGGTGTCAGCCCAATTTTAACCTCTAGAGCACGAAAAATTCTTCCCATTATATACAACGTTTGTTACTCCAATTCAAACAAAATGGCGACTCTCCTGCGCAGACGCAGGCTCAGTTTCCCATTTTCCATAACCTAATTTTTATTAAATACAATTTAGGCCATCTATTTACCTTAAAATTACCGTATTTCCGGAAAATATACAGTATTTTCCACAACTGTATTTGTCAGCTCTGTCCTCAGATTATATTAATATAAATACCCATATTTTACTAGTACATTTAGTATTTTAGTAATGACATACTGTCTTCATGTTTTCCTTAGGTGAGTGACGAGTATAAGAAGTTGAACCCCATGGGTCAGGTTCCTGCACTCCTTGTTGGTAGTCAAACCTTGACGCAATCAGTAAGTATTACAACAACTGTGTACACTACTGACAGGAAGAGGAATTAGATACACGTGCAACACAGGCTGCTAGGCTGAGGGACTGACTGAATCATCTTATGTCTTTTGTACATCTGCGTGGAACTGATGAAGCCAGTGGTTGGCTAAAAGTCTTCAAATGAAAGATACCCAGGTGTTGCATACATGTCTAATTACTCAGTCAGTCAGTATTAATAGTCTGACTTGATGATGGGATAGGGATTATATAGAAACATTATATGCAATTAAAGTTCAACAATATTTGTTGCTTTTAAGTTGAATATTCAGGAAGAGACTCATTCCCTACATGTGCAGTCATTTTTTTTTTCAGCTTAGCATCATGGAGTACCTGGAGGAAGCCTACCCTCAGAAACCACTGCTACCGAAGGACTTACTTCTGAGAGCAAAGGTAAACTTTCATTGTGTATTTTTGTCCCCTTGGAACGACGTCTCTTGATGCCGGTGAGGAGCTCTTGATTCAAGGAACTGGACCTGTCCTTTCTTTAGACGTTGTGTGACCTCCATGGGTTTACCGATGCATCTGTTGATGCTTGCCTCTGTCTGTGTGGTTGGTTAAGGGGGGGTTTAAAACTTATCGACTACATTATACTCATTACAATTTCACCTAATCTTTTCGCCACCATTCCTCTCAGTGTATATACACTGAGAGGAATGAATTTGCCGGTGTATATATCTTATATTGTGAGATTATGAATGAAAGTAGAGGTTGCATTTCTTCAGATGGGCTGTATATGTTTATATGTATTAACCTGAAGATTAAAATAATAAATTATAACACAGAAGATATTACAGTTCAGCATATTCTTTTAAATTGGAAAGATTTTTTCTTCCTTCTAAGGTGCGCGAGATATGCGAGGTAATAGGCTCGGGTATCCAGCCGCTACAAAACCTGTCAGTGCTACAGAAAGTAGGTGAGGAGAAGAAAATGGAATGGAGCAGCTTTTTCATCAAGAAAGGTTTCATTGGTGAGCATTATCCAGTGTACCGTGTGGCTGTATCGTGTTGCTGTAGTCAGTGTTGGTACAATAACTTAAGAAACCGCGGTACTGGAGGGGATTGAATCCGCGGTGAGTGAGAAGTAAAACTCCAGACCGACGTTAGCCACTGTAGCCAGCTGGCTACAGTGGCTAACGCGTCGGTCTGGAGTTTCACGACTCGCCCACCAAGGGTTCAATCCCCACCCGTACCGTGGTTTGTTTGCAATCGTGTCATTACGATTTCTTGAGTTAAAATAACTTGAGTTTCAGACACGAAATGGAAATCTACTTATTTCGTATTATAAATAATGTGCAGTACCGACAAGTTGATGAACAAGACACGTGTGCAGCACTGAGTGTCTTGATTGACGAAAAATATCGCCTGCGCTGCAGACTTTATCAGTTGAATAAGAGGTGAATTACAAGCTTTAATTTCAATCGACTAATGCAGCTTGCAGTGAAAACGAAAAGTTTTGTCAATAGATGCTTAGTGGTCGAAACGTCTTGCTCATCAGAACTGCTCAAGAGCATAATTTACTTCTTCAAGAAAATCTTGTTGGATAATCTCATTGTTATTAACTCCTCCTGAGGGTAAGAACCCAGGGAGTTAGGGGCGACACTGTTACTACCTCCTGAGGGTAAGAACCCAGGGAGTTAGGGGCGACACTGTTACTACCTCCTGAGGGTAAGAATCCAGGGAGTTAGGGGCGACACTGTTACTACCTCCTGAGTGTAAGAACCCAGGGAGTTAGGTGCGACACTGTTACTACCTCCTGAGTGTAAGAACCCAGGGAGTTAGGGGCGACACTGTTACCACCTCCTGAGGGTAAGAACCCAGGGAGTTAGGTGCGACACTGTTACTACCTCTGAGGGTAAGAACCCAGGGAGTTAGGGGCGACACTGTTACTACCTCCTGAGTGTAAGAACCCAGGGAGTTAGGGGCGACACTGTTACCACCTCCTGAGGGTAAGAACCCAGGGAGTTAGGGGCGACACTGTTACTACCTCCTGAGTGTAAGAACCCAGGGAGTTAGGTGGCGACACTCTTACTACTCTGAGGGTAAGAACCCAGGGAGTTAGGTGCGACACTGTTACTACCTCCTGAGGGTAAGAACCCAGGGAGTTAGGGGCGACACTGTTACTACCTCCTGAGTGTAAGAACCCAGGGAGTTAGGTGCGACACTGTTACTACCTCCTGAGGGTAAGAACCCAGGGAGTTAGGTGCGACACTGTTACCACCTCCTGAGGGTAAGAACCCAGGGAGTTAGGGGCGACACTGTTACTCCTCCTGAGTGGGAAGAACCCAGGGAGTTAGGTGCGACACTGTTACTACCTCCTGAGTGGTTTAAAAACCCAGGGAGTTAGGTGCGACACTGTTACTACCTCCTGAGGGTAAGAACCCAGGGAGTTAGGGGCGACACTGTTACTACCTCCTGAGTGTAAGAACCCAGGGAGTTAGGTGCGACACTGTTATACCTCCTGAGGGTAAGAACCCAGGGAGTTGGTGCGACACTGTTACTACCTCCTGAGGGTAAGAACCCAGGGAGTTAGGTGCGACACTGTTACTACCTCCTGAGGGTAAGAACCCAGAGAGTTAGGTGCGACACTGTTACCACCTCCTGAGGGTAAGAACCCAGGGAGTTAGGAGCGACACTGTTACTACCTCTTGAGGGTAAGAACCCAGGGAGTTAGGGGCGAAACTGTTACTACCTCTTGAGGGTAAGAACCCAGGGAGTTAGGGGCGAAACTGTTACTACCTCTTGAGGGTAAGAACCCAGGGAGTTAGGGGCGAAACTGTTACTACCTCTTGAGGGTAAGACCCAGGGAGTTAGGGGCGAAACTGTTACTACTCTTGAGGGTAAGAACCAGGGAGTTAGGGGCGAAACTGTTACTACCTCTTGAGGGTAAGAACCCAGGGAGTTAGGGGCGAAACTGTTACTACCTCTTGAGGGTAAGAACCCAGGGAGTTAGGGGCGAAACTGTTACTACCTCCTGAGGGTAAGAACCCAGGGAGTTAGGGGCGACACTGTTACTACCTCTTGAGGGTAAGAACCCAGGGAGTTAGGGGCGACACTGTTACTACCTCCTGAGGGTAAGAATCCAGGGAGTTAGGGGCGACACTGTTACTACTTCCTGAGGGTAAGAATCCAGGGAGTCCGCGACATTTAATACCTCTTGAGGGTAAGAACCCAGGGAGTCCGCGACATTTAATACCTCTTGAGGGTAAGAACCCAGGGAGTTATGAACAACGCTACTACCTCCTGAGGGTAAGAACCCAGGGAGTTAGGGGCGACACTGTTACTACCTCTTGAGGGTAAGAAGCCAGGGAGTCCGCGACACTTACTACGTCTTGAGGGTAAGAACCCAGGGAGTTAGGAACAACGTTACTACCTCCTGAGGGTAAGAGCCCAGGGAGTTAGAGGCGACACTGTTACTACCCTATAATTATATAGAAACCTCCCACCCTCACCTATCTATATTTGCTCACCTAATATACTGAGTATCATTATTATATATTATAATATATTATATTCTATATTTAAATCACTATATATATATACATTAAATATATATTATTTACATTTATATATTTTAGATATATATGTATATATATTATATATATATACTGTATATATGATATTATAAACATATATATATATTATAGATATATATCATACTTATATATATATTACATATTTATTATATATTTTATATTTATATATTACATATATTTTATATACATAACGATTATATAATATTTATATATATAGTTATATACATATATATTTTATATTATATATATATAATATAGATAATATATATTATATTAATATACAGTAAATATGGTATATATTATTTATATCCATATCCTATTTCTATATATATTATATTATATACATATATTAGATATATAATCAGGATATTTATATATATATTTTATATATTTATTATATATAACAATATTATACTATATTATATATATACTTATATATATATTATATATATACATATATATTATCATATATATATATACATAATATAATATATATAATACATATATATTTATTTTTATTTATTTATATATACTTATATTATATATATATATATATTTCTATATAATAATATTATTTATATATATAATTATACATATATTTATATTACCATATTATATTATATTATTAACCATATAATATCATATACATATATATATTATATATTAATTTATAATATATATATATTACTATATTATATATTATATATTATATATATATATATATATTATTAATTATTATATATTAATATATATTGAATAAGATATATATATATTATATATATAATATATATTTATATATATATTACTATTTGTATATATAGTATACAGATATATATCTCATATATAGATATAAATAATATATGTATATGTATATATATTATACTATACATATATACTATATTCTATATATATATATTATAAATGTATAGATCTATATATATTATATATATATTATATAATATATATTATGTATTTACTATTATACTATATTATATATTTTAATATATTATATTTATATTTATTATACTAAATATACTATTATAGATAGATATTATTATATATATATATATATATATATATTATATATAATATATATATTATATATTTATGATATGATATATTATATATTATATATGTAAATATATATATATATTATTATATATATATATCTATAAGTATATATATATATATTTATAATATATTATAGATATATTTTATATATATATTTATATTATATTTTATATATATATATATTATAATTTAAATTTATATATATATATTATATATATATATATCATATATATATATACGATTATATGATATTTATATATATTATTATATATTATATTATTATATTATTGTATGATATATACTGTCGCTAGGCCGCAGTATGTAAAAAACTGGTCAATTAGCGAAGAGAAAACTATTTGTAAACAATTTAAGTCCACTTTCTAATGAATTTTTCTTGTTTTACTGTATGAGCGTTTTAAAGATATATTTTTTTATTAATGTTGATGTAAAAATTATCAATTAGCCACTCACCCAGGAAACTGGAATTACCTAAACCTTATTATAAACGACGCGTACAATTTTATTTTTGTCCTAACCCTTACTAAATATATTTTTGATTTTGTTTACAATAATTAATGCTACAACAAACAGTGTGAAATATATTTTTTTCGTAGGTCAGAAGGATTTTGGCGAAATTATTGCATAACAAAATTTTTCACTTGTCTATATGGCAAGATGAGCGTTGCTATTTAAGGCCAAAGATCGCAAGTTCTGCCTACTTAGCGCACGACATTTAGTATATATATGTGGGACGTGTGTGTGTGTGTGTGGTGTGTTTTGTGTTGTTGTGGGTTGTGTGTGTGTGTGTAATATGGGTAGCAAGCTTTAAGACGGGGCGGAGGGAAGTTCACATATATCTTGCTTCCCATTAACGTGGAGCGTCTTCACCTTTCACCCCCATATATACGTCACTGGTACATTGGACTTTAATCGTAGCATTTAGACAACCTCGCATATAATTGTGTAATAGCACTGTATGCGCTACTTTAATCCTTAATGTGTCAGCGTGAGGCTATTGCTGTATCAAGTCAGAGCGTAGGTTGAAGATGTCGGGGAATATAAAGTATTGTGACTTTCGGTGAGATTAATGGTTTGTAAACGGTGGGTTGGCAGTATAACACAGGGTTAACTAACCTACATGTTTCAGGATAGGCTAACATATATATAACCCCTGGACAGTTTTGGTAAGGGCACTTCTCGTGTTGTATTAGGTTGGGTGTGTGTGGTGTGTGTGTGTGTGTGTGTTGTGTGTACGCCTAAGTTGGTGGGTTTCAGGGGTCGAGACTCGGTCTGGGCCTCTCGCCTTTCACTGACCGCATATGGGTCCCCTACTCTGCTCCATAGCTTTATCTCTTAGCAACCTCGTTCTTAAAACGGATGTATGATTTCTGCATCTCCACTAATCACTTGCCAGCTATTATCACTTTACCTAACAACTCTGTGCTCAAGAAATTGTATTACCTAACATTCCCTT